CCCCCCCACACCACACGCACCTCTATCTAGGATTTCTTTATTCCACTCAGGGACTCTAGGCACAAAAGTTTTCTGAACCAAAGAGAAATGGAATTTAATTTCATACAGATACCATTGGATGTAAAGCTCTCAAACCACAGGGGTCTGACTTCTCTCCCCTGTTATGGATGGCTCGTCTTTGGAGGTTATTAGGAATAGAGAACAAGAGTGCAGTAGCATTGGCATTTGCAGTCCATTGGTCCATTGAGTGCCTCCTTGCAACCAGCCAATAAGAATAACCCATTTTGCATTTTGGGGGATCGTCCCCCTTATTTTGCATTTATATATAAATTCAGGCTAAAATTGCATGTAACTTTTTACAACTAGTGGTAGGGAGGATGGTGTTTTTGAGAGAACGTAATTGAGGGTGACTTTTCAGGGATGAAGGAGGAGATGCCCTTGTTATTAGGCATGAAAGTCAGAGAAGAAAACGTATTTTAGGATCTATGACATGGGCCCAATGTGCTTGTGAAACTGGGAAAGACAAAGAAAGCAGGGGACTGTTTTTTTCCCCCTGAAGATTCGAGTTTAGTGATGAAATGCATGCACACAACGCATACCATGTGAAAAAGGAAAGTGAAAGTACCTCGGTCCAGTAAGGCTGTGGAGAAGCGAGTTGCAGTGGAGAAAACATCCCCAGCTGGGGGATGGCTTTGCTTGCCTCCAATCACCCACTCCACCGTCCCTACTCCCTGCCATGCCCCGATGCCAACATCAGCAGACTTTTTTCCTCCCTGGAAACGGACAGATAGTAAATACTTCAGTTTTGCTTGCTGTGTACTGCTTCTGTGGTAGAGGCTCACCTGTGCCGTTGTAGGGCCTAAGTATCAGGGACTGTATGCCAGCAAACAGCCACCGCTGTGTTACGGCGCAACTTCTGTATATAGGTATACGGACACTGTTAGTTACTTTAGTACTGCTGTGACCACAGACAGCCTAGGGCGGGAAGGTCTGCTTTGACTCATCGCCAAGAGATTTCAGTACATCCTGGTGGGAAGGTAGGGCAGCAGAAGCACATGTGGAGGCTCGTGACAACATGGCAGACCAGCTACACAGAGAAGGAGGGGAGAAAGGGGTGATTAACAACCTCCAAAGGCTCACCTCTCGCCACCCATGTCTGCCAGCTACACCTCACTGTCCAAAGCTTCATAGTCACCCCAAAACAGTACCACCTGCCTGAGGAACAGGTGCACAAAACATCAACTGGAGTATGTTTCAGGTTCAAGCTCCATTTGTTTGTCTGAATTTAGTGCTTACGAATTTCAACTTCATATGCATTTCACATTTCATGAGATGATATACTTTTGGATTATTTGGAAGCATTAAAAAAAATACAAGAATAATATTTGTAGGCTGTGCAAGCAGAGGAGGCCCAGACAGAAAGCAAAAGTATAGTTTGCTGACCATCTTCTTCAAGTTTCTGAACACATTGCTTATTGTCTCTAAGGGGTTTTATTTTTCTTTGAGCATTCAAATGTTGTTGTGGACCAAGTCCCTAATCCTGGAAGAGACTTCAGAGGCCCAAGAGAGGGAAGTACTTCCATGTTGTTCCACACAGCGGACTTGATGCTGCCAAATTGAGTTCTGCTGAAACAAAGAGAACCGTTGCTGCCTTCTGAGAGGATTTGCAATAAAATGGAAAATTCTTGGCATGCCCTGTCAATTTCATTGAAGATTAAAGGATAAACTCAGGGCTTTGTGGCTTCCCTAGAGGCAATCTTCTTGCAAAGTGCTGCAGGCCAATATAAAAATTCTCTCTGTCTTTTAGCAGCGTGGGTCATTGCTAGATTTTAAGCATTTTGCTGTTTCTTTCTAGGGAACACAGTCTGAATGGGGTGGAAATATCCTTGCACTTGGAGTGAAAAAGACCAGGGTTTGAGTTTTGTCTCTGTTAGTTTTACTGTGATCTTGGATAAGATGACATCACTATGGGAGTCTTAACTTTCCAATCAGTAGAGAAGGTCAAATAATTCTACACTTCGATTTTGTACACAGAATGGATTGCATCTTGTTTTCTATTGGTCAATTTTCTCATCGCTGTGACAAAGTGTCTGAGGTCCAACTTAAAGGAGGGTAGATTTACTTTGGCCCACCGTTTTGGGAGGGTGGCTCTGTGGTGGGACCCTATGGTAGAGTTCCTTGCTTGGAGGAAGGACCAGGAGACTGGACACTGGATCAAAAGCAAGGCCTGGCTGTAGTACTGAAAGGTTACAGCCTTTCAGAGACCCTTCTTCTCTAGCCAAATCATCTAGAGGCTCTGTAAACTTCCAAATCGTGCCATCAGTGTTAGAACATACTGATGTGTGGAGAACATCATAGACTCAAGTCACCTATCGTTTGCCAAACTTTTGAATAAGACATGAATGTAGTCTTTGTCTGACCTCCATCTTTACTGTTTATTCCTCCACAGCAGGTCCTATTGTTATTATTTTACCCACAAAAATCCCAACAAGTGTCACTAACAGACAATTTTCTAAAAGGATGTCTTCATTCCATTAAGTTTAGAAACATAAAGGGTTCTTTGTGTCAGTGAGTGTGTGTGTGTGTGTGTGTGTGTGTGTGTGTACATGTGTGTGCCTGTTTATGTTTGTGCAGGTATGCATGTAGAGGTCAGAAGATAACCTCCCTGATATTCCTCACATACTGCCCACGTTTTAAATTTTTTTTGAGACAGGCTTTTTCTTTGGCCCAACACTGGTCAAATAGGCTAGGTTGGCTGATAAGTGAGTTTCAGGGATCCGCTTATTTCTTGGTTCTGGAATGCTGGGGTTACAAATGAGTGCCACCATGCCTGGCTTTTTCCATGGATTCAGTGGGGTTGATTTCAGCTCCTCATGTTTGTAAGGCAAACACTTTACCAAATAAGCTACTTTTCAGTGTGTAATAAGAATTCTTCACTATCAGCTTTTTCCAATCAATCTAAAAACAAAAACAGAAACAAAAACTACATATGCCTAGTGTGTTTAAGGCAAAATTCAAACAAGATTCATCTATTGTATTTGGCTGTGTGTGTCTTAAGACTCTTTAAATTTTTTTTTTACTTTTTTAAAAATTGTATTTTATGTGTATATATGTGCCTGTGTGTATGTATAGCACACGCATACAAATGTCTGGGAATGCCAGAAGAGGGTATCAGATTCCCTGGAACTGAAGTTGTAGGTGATTGTGAGTGGCTGATGTCAGTGCTGGAAATCAAATATATCTATATTTTATCAATATATCTTGCTGCTCCTCTTCAAGAGCAGCAAGTGTTCGTAACACTGAGCCATCTCCGAGCCCCAAGACTTAATCTGTAGCAGACTTAGTTACCTGGATGCCTGAGTGTTGAAGCCCATGTTATTCATTAGCCTGTTTTTACTCAGTGTTCTTAGCTGAGCTTGAGGATTCTTTTAGATCTAATCCTTGGTAAGCAGTTCCAAATGCTATAGTTTCTAAGTCTGTCTATTCTTTTGAGCTTATTAGCTGACATACCATAAAAACTTTCCATTATTAACTATTTAGTTACTGAAAAATAGTCAGTGTGTTAATGATGTGACATGTGCTTGCTGTATTCTTTTCTTTCTTCTGCCTTTGTCCCATTTCCATCCGTTGGTTGGCTCAGCAGCTTGCTGGGGGAGACAATGGAGACCGTGACAGTGGTGAGCTCTCACCTGTTATGTACGGTGATATTTTATTTGTGCTGAAATGCAATTTTATTTGCATGTTAATAAATAGAAGTGCCTGGGGGTCAGAGCTAATAACAAGCCACTTAGCAGAAGTCTGGCAGTGATAGCACACGCCCTTAATACTGATCACATGACAGACAGAGCTCTGTGTGTTCAAGGACACTACCAGTATGGAGACACACACCTTTAATCTCAATACCAACCATAGAGACTGGAGGTCTGTATAGACAGGCAGTGATGAGGAGGTCATGTGGTTGGGTTTACAACTAATGAAAAGGCAGACCAGAAAGTCAATAAAAAGACAGACACACGGGAAGTAGGTCTCTTTCTCAGGGGAAGAACAGCAGTGGCAGGGTGTGGTAAGAAGGAGATTTTAGTCTCAGCTCTTAGCTACTGCTCTGACCTCTTAAGCTTTTCTCAAGGAATAAGTGTTTCTTATTTAATAAAACCATTCAGAATTACATCTACAGTTATGAGTTCAAGGATTTAGGGTGTGTGATATTATTCAGGTGCTCACAGTCATTTACCATGGCCAACATACTTTATTCAAATAGTATTTGATCACCTGTCATGCTTAGCTTTATGGACTTTGTGTTCTTGACATGAATCACCCAAAAAGCCCTAGATTCTCCGCAGGAGGACAAGGTATCCGGAGAATACAGCCTGTCCACCAGGAATGTGATTGTGACTCTGTCGGAATCCCAATCACTGTGTCTGTTCCTCCTTCGCTCTTGTGTATTTGTGTTCCTGTGTGTGTGTGTGTGTGTGTGTGTGTGTGTGTGTGTGTGTGTGTGTGTCTATAAAGTCAGGGTCTCACTCAGGAGCCCAGGCTGGTCTGAAACTTGCTTTGTCAAAGCTGTGAGTCAAAATTTTTCTTTATTCATATCATTCACCTTTAAAAGAAATAAAACATGATATTGTGTATTCATTCTGTACTATGTTTTTTAATTGAGTCGTATACCATAAAGAATATTCCATAGCAGCAACCTACTTACTAATCCTATTTGAGTGTATTTGGATTTCTTCCATTTTTTCCATTAGAGGGTCTTTTGATAAACAACCTTTCTAGAGGTTCTACAGGATACAGGCATACAAACACACAATTTGATTGTAGCTGTATTTCTAGTTCCACAGTCATTTATTATAGCATCCTCATGGTATGCTATCATGTAAAGTGAATAAAACAAGGCCCCGTCTTGAGATTGTGCAGTCTAAGATGATACTAAACATTTGACACTAAAACTTTGATTATGGAGAAACGGGTTGCTGAGCTGATTTATGTTTTCCTAACACCAGAATTCATAATGACAACTGTCACGGTGACCACAGAAGTTCCCCCAAGAGCTAAGACAGAAGGTGATTCTGTCTCGTATGGATCTTCATCAGCTCACATTATTGAAGAAACCGAGTACGTGAAAGAGGTATGATGAGGGCAGGGGACATCTCGATGTGGCTTTTGTGACGAGCACCAGGATGGATCAGTGGGCTTTGTTTCCCCATCCATGCAACCCATGGAATGGAGCAAACCTCACTTGGTTTAGGATAGCTGACAGCTTAGATTTGAACATAGCTAGTCATTTTTCTTTAGAATATAAACCTGTGCCTGCATGAGAAGTAACAATGACTTTCTCCACTCAGTAGAACTGAATAATGGCCAGGACAGTTCAGAACACCTATCAGCATTTAATTCACACCCCACCATTCGCTGCTGGATTTCCTGCTGTTTCATAACCTTCCCTGGTGGTTTCCTGAATGTGGATGCTGTGCTCCCAAGTAGATGTTTGTGTTTCCTGCTGATTCTCACTCTCTTTCCTCACCTTGTCACTATGCACAGCTCCAGCTCGCTAGTGCCAGTGACTCCTCTGCAAGTGACTTCATTAATTATGCAACTTATGAGAAATCCACCATGAAAAGAACTAAGAAAGGGTATTCACATAAGCTGCCTGTTAGAATAGATAGAAAAATTCTGACATTAATAGTTTGTAGCTTGTTCAGATCAGCTAATTAAATTGTCTTGCAATGTTTAGTAATTCCACAGGTCAGCAAGACTGGAACTCAAATTTCATGCATAAATTTGTATGATCACGTCTTAGGGATTTTTCTGTAGTAATTATTTAATAGCAATTATTTTGTGGTAATTACTATGTAGTAATCATTTTGTAGTGATTACTAAGTAATAATTCTCTTATAGTAATTACTAAACACTGAATTAGTAAATTATAGGTAAAAGTGAACAAAATGTACAGTTTTAAAGTTCTAATTACTAAATTATTTTGTAATATATAATATTAATTTTTTGTCATATTTCAGATTTATCTAAAAAAGAGATATAAAACCCAAACACTTTCTTTTCATTCATCTAAACAATATTAACCTAAATATAATTTAGGTTGGAGGCTAGTATTTAAATCTGACATCAGGATAGATATGTAAATAAGGTGCCCTGTAGCTGGTATAGAGAAAGAAAAATGCATTTGGAATTAAATGCCTTATAAAAAAATTAACTATTTTTTGTTCCTCCAGATCCGAAGTACCCTGGAAAAGATCCGAAATCACATGTTTAAAGATGAAGAAGGACACAACAATGCAAATTACAAAGTAGATGCAGAGGTAATAAATGCATGGAGATTCATTATTTGCATTCTTTCAGAAAGTTAGCACAAAGCCATATAGATTTCTATTCAATCAACCTTTCTGCCCGAAATTGCTCTTTGAAGCTGCGATAAAATATTTCATGCATGTCTAACATCTAAAGATGTTAATGCTTATGCTTATGATGTGTTAACTAGGGATGTCACTCGAAGGATCAGATCAGAATGGCCAGAACTTGCTGAAATATTGCAAACAGAACATAATATTATAAAGCATATAGGAAGACACCAGACCAAGGAGAATACGTGGTAGCCATACTTTTCAGGGATGAAGGTATAAGCTTACAAGTATATTCTGTGGGACACAGCAACTGATGGTTTGAATTGAGTGATCAATAAGCAATGAACTTTGCTGATCAACAAGCTTAAGCACCTCTTTCTAGTGTCAGTAGCATCTTTGTGTACTTAAGTTTGGACAAACCTCTTTTAGCTCATATTGTACCAAATTAAATATCACCAGAGCCAAGAGCATCTATCTTATTAACATTACTGACTATAAACCATGGTTATTTATCACATGAGAAGGTAGAATGTACTACATAAACACAGTTCCCTTACATCATCCTCAGCTTCCAATATAATATGGCTAGTACTTAAGATTTCCTTAATTAATTGCCCCAAATCTGGGCAAAAAGAGACAACATTGAGGTGTGGCAGGAAAAAAAATCATTTTTGAGCATTTGAGTTGACTTCTAGAACTTCATTGATGGGTAGATATACTTCTAGATTTGAGAGTACAGATCTGGATTAGATGAATTGGATTGCATTAGACAGGGTACAATATACAGAATTGTGGTATTATGGTTAGTAAAGTTCTGAAACTAAAGCTGAGTTTAACACTTGAGTGGGAGGACAAGAGTGTAAGCCTGCCTGATTGATACAGCAAGACATTATCTCCAGAAAAAATAATATAATGCAATGATTTTGAAAGTGGAGAGGGTTGGAAAGCAAGTGAGTGTACATATGGATGACAGATGAGCTGAGGGCTTAGTGATGAATGTCCCAAACTTGGGTCTTTGGAAGAAGAGCCATCATAGAGGTTGAAATGGATGGTGGAGAATTAGGAAAGGCCATAGAGGATGGAATCCCTGAAGGCAGGTAGAAGTAGTAACTGTCCAGTGTTGTCCATGGGCCGTGTAAACTTAGAACTGGCCAATGGCCACTGGAAACGTTGAAGTAGAATTTTTAGCTGATCTTGCTAGGAGTAGCTCTGGATGTATGGATAGAACATGGTGCTGCTATGATATAGGGTCTTGTTACCATGTAAAGTGTGGGCTACTGGCCTGGCAGCAGCATCTCCATAAGCTTATTAGATTTGTACTGTGTAGGCCTCCACCCAGACCTCCTGATTCAGAATCTGTAGCTTTTTACCATCAGCTAACACCCATGAGAGCACTGATCTAACCATTTGCAAGTCTCAACCACAGCCATTAATCTACCTTCTGCAAGAGTCTGTCAATTATTCTTTAGTATATATCCATATATGGTCAGAGAAGGTGGGCACAGCTTTATTGTGTGGTCTAGACCACACAGACACACAAAAGGCTGAGGATGTACTATGTATATGTTATGTGCTTGGTTTTTGTTTGTTTGATTATTTGTTATGAGTTTTCTGAGACAAAGACAGAATTCCACTGTGTAGCCCTGCCTGTTCTAGAACTTGCTCTGTAGACCAGGCTGGCCTCGAACTCAGAGAGATCCTTCTGCCTCTGCCTCCCAAGTGCTGGGATTAAAGACGTGCAGTACTACCACCCAGCTCATTGTTCTTATTTCTGGACTATGGATCATTTTTTGTAGTGGAAAAAATATGTTTGGTCGTTGAGCAATCTTAGACTCTGAATCTGGTCTCAAGGTTATTTATGTAGGTGTAACTTTAGTGTCCTAGTTAGCTTTAACTATCAACTTGACACAGCGTAGAATCATCTGAGAAAGGAAACTCAACTGAAGGATTGCCTAGACCAGATCTTCCTGAATGGAATTGCCTTGGTTGTTAACTGATGTAGCAAGTCCTAGGCCAGGGTGGGTGGAACCATTTCCTGGGCAGGAGGCACTGGATTGTATAAGAAAGTTAACTATGCTTGGATGTGTGAATAAGCCAGCATGCAGTGTTCCTCCATGGTTTCAAAGTCCCACACCAAACCCTTCACTGGCTTCCTCAATGATGGACCTGGAAGTTTATACAAGATAAACTCTCATCTCCCAAGTTGCTTTTGATCAGAGTGACTTTTCCCCCCAGGAGCAAAAAAAATTAAACTAAAACACTTTAATTTGTGAAACTCTAATTTTAAGTTTCCTCACTACTACAAAGAACATAATGTTTTTTTCCTATCTGTAGCACACAGGCAAAGAAATGTACCTAACACTGAAAAGACGACATGGTGCATAATAGGTGCTTAACAAGTAGACACTGTTATCAGAACCACAGAGTATATGGAGTTGCTTGATAGTTTCTCTCTCTGCCATGAAATAAGGTGAAAGAGCAGATAGTGCAGATGATGATCAAGAAACTATGTCATGAACTCTTGGACTTGACTTGCATAAATGTGGACCCTACTGCTTAGTTTCCACATCTGGGAAATGGGTAGGCTGAGATGTTCTCTAGTTTCCTCACTACCTCCATATGCCCATGATTCCATGTAGATTTATGTTCCAGGTGCATTTTCAGGGACGATGACGTTGTACAGGATTACATCATAGTGGAGGTCTAGACTGACATCTCTGATTAGAGATTCAATATGAAATGATGATAAGGAAAACACTGTTAACGTTTAGTGTTAGCAGGCCCGATTCTGTTTAACCAACATATATTTGTAGGCATGGTTTTAATTAATCCAGTCTCATATTTATTTTTTGGTATGTACAATACCCTTAATAATGTATTTAAAGCTGCAGGAAATATAAGACTCTTTAAATTGGAGCAGACATGGAAGCTGGCTCATTTGTCTAGAATTAATCATCAAAATTCGAGGTTCAAAGAGTTATTTTTGCTTATTTGAATCTTCTTTGACTTATGTAGTGAATGATAATCATTGTTGCCAGTGTTCATAGAGGAATTGTTGGAGGACGTGTGCCACTGTGGGGACAGGCTTTGAGGTCTCGTATGCTCCAACCATGCCCAGTGTGGCACACGGTCTTCTTCTGCTGCCTGCGGATCCAGATGTGGAACTTTCAGCTCCTTCTGATCTTTGTGTTTGTTCATTTCAGCCACCTGGAAACATGCAGAATGGCTCAGATTCCACAGCAGACCACACCTGTTTGGATTTGCTCATGGAAAACATGAGAAGAAAAGACCAGCAGCTCCTGGAAATGAACAGAGAGAATGAAATGTTGAAAATCAAGGTACAACTGCTAGGAGCTCATAAACAGCTTTCATAGGTCTATACTAGCTATGAGACAGACACCCACTCACACCCCGAAGCCCACAATACTCAAACGCATGGCCAAAATATTGGAGTGTTGTACAAATTAAGTCTTACTGTTTTATTTTGGAGACTACTTTTAGTATTAAAGAAATCTTTTGAAGGTCTGTGGGTGTAAATTTTCAGCTATGCAAAAGTAGCAAGTTCTGGAAGTTTCCTTTGTGATATCAAATATACAGCTAACAGTGGTATACTGTGTACTTACACAGTTATTAAGGGAAGAGATCTCAGGCTAACTGCTTTTTACCATAATGCATTTTTAAAAGATTTTGCATCTTTAAGAAATATTAGAGCTAGGGAGATACCTTAGTCAGTTAAATGTTTGTGCTACAAGCAAGAGAGCCTGAGTTAGATCCCAGCACCAACACAGAAAACTACGCATGGAGGTGTGTGTTTGCAATTCCACTGCTCAGGAGGTGGAGGCAGGGGGATCCCTAGGGCTGCTGACCAGACATGCTAGCCTAGTCTCTGAGCTTCAGGACATACCGACAAACTCCATCTTAAGGGGGGGGAGGGAGACAGGATTGATACCTACCCAAGAAAAGATGTTCAAGGTTGACCTCTGACCTCCCTATGCATATATGAATTGTACATCTGCACCCACACATATGTGCACATGGGAACACGGACACGTACACCAAATCCAAATACTGATTCCAACTTCTATTATCAAATGCCTCATTGATTGTTCAATTAGTCTATTGTTGAGTGCCTTGTATTTCGCCTTTGGGGTTTACTTTGTATGTAGCCTCACAGCGATTACCTTGGCATGTAAATCTCAGCAGCCACCCTTGATCATTTCCTTAGGTTATAAAGATCAACATTTATACTTCACTGTTCTTACGACTCCAGTCTCATCCCACTTCCATTTCACGGAGCTTCATTTGTCAGTACATAATGAACATTGGTGGTGAGAGGGTTGCCCCTATGTGTCCCGACAAGATGCCATCTACCTGTGCAAAGCACCGATACGCTTAGCACTCAGGGTTGGCTTCACCATGGCAGATGCCCATGCTCAGTACCCAACTAGAGACTCCTTCACTTGACACTCTCTTCTTACTCAGCACCAGCAGCTTCCCTCCCATCAGTTATCTGTATGGCTGCAAATGGTAATTAGGGACTGCTTTTAGTTGACCATAAAACGGTGTTCTGCTTTCAACTATTTTTATTTCGTAATGTCAAAACATGCAAGGTGACTTTTATTTTTCCTAGCTGGAAGCTTCCCGAGAGGCAGGAGCAGCCACTTTGAGAAACGTGGCCCAGAGGTTATTTGACAACTACCAAACGCATTCTGAAGACATGAAGAAAAAGCATGAGGACAGTAAACGTTTACTTCAGGTAACTAGTCCCAGCTGCAGCTCAGGAGCTGGAGAAGCCAGCCCCACCCAGCCATATATGGCTGGTGATGATGCACTGTGTGAATAGTGCTACCTACAGGAACAGGTATATGTGCCCTTACACTAGGGGCTCAGCCCCAACCTGAGTGACCTGACAAGAAGGCACACCTGGTATTTTCAAGGGCAGATGCATACTCATTCATTTTTTACTGGGCCATTTTGAGCTCTGTTTTATATATGCATGCAAATGCGCATGTGCACTACAGGCAGAAGTCAGCTGAAGTTCCCTCCCTAGAGAGGCAACTTCTTTGCTGTGACTGACCTTTAGCCCCAGCTACATATCTAACAAGTAACCTTGGGATACAGTGGGCATAATTACCCTGCTTTGGGAATATTTTCTGGTAAGAAAGAAAACACTTGTAATTGGATATACAAGATGTTCTGTTTTGTTCTAGATAAATAACAAAAGCAAAAGTCTAGCAAACTGTTTGTTTGTTTCTGACCACAGATCAACAACCTTGAAAAAGAGCAGACGTTAAAGCATCGTGCTGAAAATCTGAGTCAACTTTCAGAAAAACTTGAAGAGAAGCATGTTCAAATCATAGGACTGGAGAACCGTGTACAGAGGATGGAAAACGTAGGTCCCTGGCAAGGCAAAGACATTTCATGCTGACAGTGTCATATAAGGGGAAGTAGAATGACATGAGTTGGAAGTTTTTCCTGGCCTGTGGGTTTGTGTGTGTGTGTGTGGGGGGGGGGGTACAATTCTGTTTTTTACAATTCTGCTTTTCCTCTAGACATTTTATGTGACCTGCTCTGTAGTTGTTGGCTTGACTGATTTCTCCTTGTCGTCAATGTGTATTCAGTGATCTATGAATGAAATAATGGGTTAGGTCACAAAGTAGTCCTGTTAGGATCCCTGTAATCTAGCATTTATTAGAGCCTAATAACAAATAAATTAGAGTTTAATAAATCTAGATACATTAGAGCCAGTGTAGTATCCTTTTTTTTCAGCCCATGACTGCTTATGGTTTATGGTTTATAAGACTATAAAATGTGTGATAAAACTGTTATTAGAACTGATATCAGAACTTTGAAAAGGTCTGTTTAGGGAAGAGCAGCAGAAAGCAAAACTGTGAAAAATCTCATGGAATCCCAGTGGTTAGCACTCCAAATACCAATATAAATAACATCAATTTAAGTATGTGCCTTTGAATTCAGAATTCAGAAAAATAAGGAATATAATCTTTTACTAGCAAAATAAATGAGCATCTCAGAAACTAAATTGAGAGTAGATGAGAATATAGTCTTAGGCTTCTAGTAAATTGTATCTCCCCCATCTTCCCTCTCACTGTATTCCTGGGTTGGCCCCTAGTCTATGAGGCCTCCACTTGTTTGAGTTTTCTGAGGTCTTTGCCACTAGGGAACTTTTACTTACTGGGTGTAACCTTTCAGTACTATGCAGGTTTCTGACCAAAAGAAATTTAATTAGTTTTAAAATATTTCCCAATAATATAAAATTTGATAACATGGTAACTGTTAAATCTATAGTCCTAAGGAAGGTCATGCGAGGAAATCAGATACAGGACCTGAGCACAAACATAAAAGGACTTAATAATATTAGCACTCACCTACAGCTCTATTATGCCATGGGCCACTGTTGTCATTCCCAGAATCACCAAGTCACCCTTGGCAGTTTGCTTACCCCAGCATGCCAGTTTATGCTTTTTGGAAAAGCTGTAGTGTTTGTTGAGTGGCTGATAGTGTTAGAATATTTTATATTGCAGTTGATAGCTTGGAGGACTAAGATAGCACAGGACATATTTGCACTGAGGAGAGGAAGACAGGTCTGTGAAGCAAACAGGATTATGGAACCAAACAACTGATCAGCCAACTTGAAATGGGAGAGTAGGACTGTGATCGCCCTCTCTAAAACCCAGAGGGAGGTTCATGGCCACCTGTGGGTGCATGAAACTTAACAAAAGAAGAGTGGAAGAAAGTTCTCTTTCCTAGCAACTCCAAGGCTTCAGCACCAGACATGAGATCTTGTCGGACTCCTAGGTGTGTTTCTTTTACTGTCATTTCAAGATATCTGAGCACCTGCCAATGGCTGCACACAGCCAGGCACAGGAGATACATTGACATGTGTGAATGAACTGGAAATAATCACTGTTTATGATGACGAGAGTGTACATGACTGGATTGTGCTGAGTGCCAGGAACTTTCCAGAGCTCCTGTTTTTAATTCTCCTAAGGGTCCTTTGGAGAAGCTGAAAGCCCACGTAAGGTAGGGCGGTGTGTCTGAAAGTACTGACAATGGCCCATAACTGTGATTCTCTTTCAGAACAGTAAGTAGGTAGGATGCTGTGCTCAGCAAGGCCATGAGAGAATCTTCCAAAATGTATTCTGTAGAATCTATTCAGGAATAGCTCAAGTGGGACCTGATAGAGTCTCTCTGGTTAGTGGAGGTGAATGGGGATTGAGGAGCAATGTGCAAGACTGTTGTTTTAAAACACATTTAGCCCAACATTATTTCATATTTTTGAAACAAGTATGGAAATAAGCAAAATAAACAGCAAAGCTTGGTGACACCTTCTTGGGCTCAGGAGGTAACAAGGAAGTAGGCTGTATGGAAGTTTCTTGGGTGGAGAATGCATATTGGAATAAAGGAGAGTATGCTGAGCCTTCTGTATTAATGGGGACAGACGCAAGTTCAAAACGGAAGTGAAGACAAAAAGCACATATCCTCAGAAAGGCTGATAAATATTGCCCTAGCAGTGGCTGCTCCCTGAGAAGGATTCATTTGCTACTCACTTGAGCAAGGCCTTGCTCCAGTAAATAGCCATTAGTGCTGTGAGGTCTGGTAATGAAGACATTACTTAAAACCTCCACCATCTGTCCCACTTTAATCAGGAATGCGGCGAGAATGAATTCCGAACACACAGCAAGAAGCTAGCAGAAACGCCCTGTAAGAGCATTTTAGCGTGGCATATGTTCCTTTTGCCGGCAGTGCGATTCTGTTGGTTCACATTCGTTTGCTAATGTCACTGATTTGGCCCCACTAGAATCTAAGGGCTCAAAGGCACTTCAGAGACCACCTACTTCCTCATCATCGTTTTATAAATGAGGATGGAGCAAACAAGAAACCATTTTGTCATCTCCCCTTTCTACTTACAATCATTCCTATTATACCCACCTGTTTTCTCATATGGGACAAAGAATATGTGCTGGGACCAGGGCAATGGCTTAGCAGGTAAAGGTGCCTATCACCAGGCCTGAATTAGCACCCAGAGACCTCTATGGTGGAAGGAGAGAACTCATTCCCACACTGTCCTCTGACATCCCTATGCATGCTGTGGTACATGTATACACATACAAAAAGTAAGTAAAAAAAAATGTAACCATTTTTTAAAAGATGATATTCTGGTTGTTAAGACATTCATATGTTAATATATACCATGTCATAATATATACCAGTTCATTTTGATCAACAGTAAAGGGAAGTCTTGACCCCTTAGGGACAGAGCAGATAGCCATAGTGGGGTGTTACGTGCATGAGGAAGACACTGTAAAGAAGTGTGTGCTAGGCAGGTGCGATTTCATGCATGACCAAAGAGGAGCTCCTGGAGAGCCCAGGGCATATGCGAGAACCCTGGCCAGGGTAGAACATGTGCTTGTTGGTTGCCCCATCTCTGACCCTGGCTGTGAGCATTCACTAATGAAAAGAAAGTCCACAGGGAGGACTATGTGTGGTGCCCATGCACTCTGTACCCCACTAATTCATAATGCATGGGCCGTGACAGTGTTTCCTAGAGCGTGCAGGCACTCACCTCAGTCTCAAGGTATAATGGCTATCTCTCAGGAATCTTTGGAAGGCACTTAAGGCTAACATGGAAAAGGTTAACATGGAATCATTTCTGTGAGGCAATATTGCTCTAAGAATGTAATTTAATTAAGTTAGCATAATTAAAAGTAGCAACTCACACAGGATATGAAGTAATTGGTACTTTTAAATTACTAGGTATTGAAGCCCAACTCTCTGCCAGGGAAGCAAGTAAGATTCTCATCCCACATGCGTTATCTCTACTCTATTTATTCCATATTACCTTCATTTTAGGGATATTCATAAAGTTAAAAATATGGCTTATACAAATAAATAATGAATATGTCTTAAAATTCAATTTATTACTAATTTTGGAACCAGTATGATAGTAAAGTTAGTTTATATATGATATTTATAGGCATTGGGTGTGGGGGCATGTGGATGGACAGAATACAGAGTTGTGTGACCACTCTAGATATATCTAATTAATAACCTTTAGGATTATCTTTTATATCTTGTAGAAATCCATAAATTAAATTTGATATAGAAGATCACACCTGTCATTCAATACTAGGGAGACTGAAGCAAGGGGATCATGAGTTTAAAGCCAGTTTTGGCTACATAGTGAGTTCAGGGTCAGTCTGTACAAGAGACCTTGTCTCAAAAAAATAAAACAAAGTAAAATAAAAATCTAAAAATTAACATGCGACTTCAGAGAACTGGGCTTCTAATCAATATGTAATAAAGTAAAACAAGCAAATTGTCTGGAATACCTAAGTAATTGTTGGACCCCATTACTGAACAGTGTCCCAGGGTGCCACTAGAGCTTCATGCTGGAGATCACTTTTATTTTCAAGTTTTGGTTAATGTTTCTCTACAGTGATGAGGTCCAGAGAGGTTAAAACAATGGTCAAAACTTCAAAACCAGATTGGTGTATGGCATAGGCTTCCTGGTTTCGGTTGTACAGCACTGCCTTGAATGGTGTCTATTTATATGTTGTGGCAGGCGGTAATTTTAAACAGCCTTGTGTGTGTTTTGAAACATTTCTAGTCAGTGCTGCCCAGGCTGTCAATACTATTTCTGCGTCCTTGCAGCCTTTCCTGGTTCCCCCAACTTGGCACTAATCAGCAACGCAAACTCTGCTTACCCAAGTGGACTTGTCACTTTTCCCTTGGGGTGAACAGTTGAGTTCAATAATTAAATCACCTCATTTTAAAAGATACTCTTTCTCAGTCTTAGAGTTTCTCCTGGTTCCTCATTAGGAAGTAGTTTTAACGTTTGTGGCCTCGATCCCTCATTAAGGGTCTATTTACCTGTTTACTGCATGGCAACAGATGCTGTGAGAGCAGGTGGAAACATCACAGTATGTGCTGTGGTGTCCTCGGGTACCAACAACTCTCCTAATGTAGTGAAGAGGCAGGTGCAGCAGTAAGGGAATTCACATCAGGCGAGGGTGTGCAGGCATCGTACTCCAGGTGGCATGGGGAAGGTGGGTGGGCAAGTTTGTACTGCAAGGGCTCCATTTTGTCAGTGGGCTGGAGAAGGAGCCAACTTTCTCATTCAGGCTAAATGAGTGAGTTATGAAGACATTTGTTTATTTGGAGACAGGGTCTCATGCAGCCCAGACTGACCTTGAACTTGCCATGATGTGGTGGCTGATCCTGGACTCCTGATCCTCCTGTCTCTACCTCCAAAGTGCAAGGATTAACCACATGCACCACCATGTATATCTTAAACAAGACTCTCTACACAGCTCTGATTTACTTTTAAAACACAAAGAACATTGCCTGGCCAGGCTTCCCGGTGGCACATTGTAATTGCTCAGATTTGAGATGAGCTCTGGAGCGCAGACTCTATTTCTAGTATCACAAGCCACATCTATTGTGAACAGTTTGCAAGCACACATACGTACACACAAACAAAAGCTGTATCTTGTTTTCTCCTAGGAAAAGAAAACACTCCTAGAGAGAAAATTGTGTTTGGAAAACAAGCTGCTGCAACTCAAGTCCAATGATGCACATTCGAAAAGGTTTGAAAAATCTACCTCCTAAAAAGCAGTTTCTGATAGCGTTCATGGGTGTGCTGGGCTGTAAGCGGGTGGGATTTATACATCTGGAGGAAGCAGAGAAAGTAGGGCACATGCATGGAGAAGGGATGTCAAATTTCTAGGGTTAATAGACATGCACCTCATTTCTTACCTATGAGGGTTCAGGGGCCAGAAGTACAGGAGGGTCCTGGAGACCCATTTAGAGAGTTCATTCGTCTGAAGAGTGAGTCTGCCACTTCTCCATTTACTCAAAGATGCTGGAGGTATCTTTATCCTCTATTCACCTTCGTGAATGAGTCTCTTCCACAGTCTACATCAAACTGGCTGGTCATCAAGTGAAACTATGGTAGCCTGGCAGTCTTCAAACTCCATAGAAAATGAAAGAAACTATGGAAAGCCGCCTTAGTTGGTTGGGGTGGCTTGTCCACATTCATAATTTTCAACTTGTATGTCTCAGTCTTTTCTGAGGAGGCAAGACAGTTTATGGTCATCATAGCAGCTGTCCAGCTCAGTTGCTCTTAGGAAATCCTCTGGAATGTTAGGTCCTGACTTATCTCACATTTCTCTAGATTTTTCTCTTCCTTTTGATTTTAACCTCACTATAGTCATGGTATATTCTGATGTCAAGATAACACATACCCTATTTCAACATCTTAGTTCAACCATCTAGGACTTCAGTTACTAGGCTATCAGGTGCTATTATGAGCCTCTAAGGGACAGATTTTCATTGTCCTTTATTTATATTGATAGACCCCAAAATCTAGGGTCTCAAGTGGGCACCCCAAGAACCCAGACTCCAGTCCAGTTGATGCAACAGCACCAGGTTTATTGAAGAAGCGGCTGTACAGTCGGGCTAACTCAGCTCCAGAGAGCAAGAGTCGCATCTTACTGCAGCCACATGGGTACTTTTAAAGGAAAACCCCACAAAAACCACAAGATTGCAATTCCCATACAATTTCATTTCGATTGATTTATGTCTAGAGGCTAATTTCTCAAGATCATGGTCTGATCACAGAGGAGGTACAGTCATGTCTGCATGCACATTCTTCCCAAAACCTCAAGGGGGAAGGGTATCAGGGCCAGAGTGGAGTTTACACAAAGGTCACAGTGGTCCTTCCTGGAACACTTGCAATTATCCCAGTCACAGTTGAGCGCATCTCTTAACAGAGCTCTCTTTACATTGTTACATTGTGGCAGGGGTGGTTGAATAATGGCTGAGTCAGGTTGCCCTTGGACCTAGTTTTCTTTTTAGTTCCTTATTCTCCTGGGGCTGGGGGGTGTTATTCTCCTGGGACTTGGAGGGGGGGGTGTAAGCCTGAAGGGTTAGGGTCTTTCAATATTATCATCCTTATAGTCACAGACATCCTTATTCCTTGATCTTTTGACTTTCCCCTATTTCTCATTATATCTGTCTTTTCTTGTCTTTCATTATACTTTGTGCCTTCTGTCTGGCTGGTAATGATACATTTTTTGACCACTTATAACAATGGCCAGAAATAGGCAGAACTTTAAGTTGCATGCGCGTATTTGAATTATCTGTCATACTAATCTGGTATTCTTTCCTATCTTTCTCCCTGTGAATAAACATAGAACCCAAGAGAACAATCGTGTGATAGCTGTGTATCACTGTCCATCTTGATAGAGAAGGCCATACAGACAGAGAATGGCTTAGGCCCTGGTGTCACTTACAGATAGTCACTAGTTAGGTTTATTTTTGTCTTAACTCTTTCCCTCCCTTGTCTCCTTCTTTATTTTCTCTTTTTGCCCTTAAATGTAAAGATCTTTCTCATGTGATGGAACTGTGGACTTACACAATGTTCCTTCCTTTACGAGTCCAGGTAGTCTGAGTTTGATGATTTCCTTTTAAAAACATAACAATAATGGGTGTCTTTTCTGATTTCAAAGCAAACTGACCTTTCCTTTTTATCTGCCATATATGAGCAATCCATATGAAATTCTCAAAATACTTTTGAGGAAGTTTTGGAAATTTCTTGGAGAAAGTGAGTGCTCTGTGTTTCTGGAAAGATAACAGAACATCTAATCTTCTTCCATTTTCAGGTTGTAGACATCCGACCCTTTATCTTCCTTCTAACCTTTGCTGAGCTGTGTGAGGAGGCATTGTTTACTTTACTGGGTGTCAGCAAGAGAGCAATCAGTATGAACTATACTCTTAAACTGAAGCCATAAAAGCTTGGCAAATGCACCACAAATATGAGATATTTCTCTTAGTCCGAGGTTAGCTACACATAAAGAAAATACAGAAAAGAACAGAGTTATTTTCTTAAACGTAAGCTTAACTTCATATTGTTGTTGCTATCATCTTGTGGAAAGTAGTTTGCAGCTTACAGAATAACCACCTTTGCATTGATGTAATCCTTCTATGGCTTCTCCAGGACCACCCCTGCACTCCTAAGCTCCTACCTCCTCAGGAGATGTCTCGCTGGTTTGGTTTCCATATTCCCATATGTAGCAAAGCCTTGCATGTTGCCATGGAGGTCTTTGATATCTGTTCTTTCATTTCTGGAAACTTCTCATGGCCTCTGAGACTAGTTTCCCCACTCCCTTGTGTGACAATAAAGGAGTAGCTATGGAGGAATGCTGCTTACTGGCTTGCTCTTCATGGCTTGCCCAGCCTGCTTTCTCCTATAACAGGACAACTTGCCCAGGGCTGGCACTGTCCTAGCATGCTGGGCCCTCCCCCATCAACCGTTTATCAAGAAAATACCCCACAGGCTTGCCTACAGAAGATACCTTGTCAGTTCTGTTTCTTCTGCACATCTGACCCTAGTTTGGGTCAAGTTTACAAAACCCTAACCCACATATGTGTGTAGTAGTCTTTTGTCTCAACAGAGCACCCAGAGTTCTGGCACCTTACTGCCCAGAGGAAACACAAGTGTGACCACTAAATACGTCATTATTACTCTTTTTCTTTCCTTCTTCTTCTTTCTTCACTGGAGGAATTATTTAAATTTTAATCCTCAATTTATTTAATGTCAATCCTTATACCCAGAAGTGAGCTTTCTGAGGCTGTCCTTTGTTGAGACTCCCCATCCTCTCATCCCCTGAATCTCCTCAACAACTCTCCCTCCCAGGGGTCTGTGCATCCCCCTAAGACATCTCAGCTGCCCTGCTCGCCTGGCCTCAGTCTCCCTGAAACCCTAGGATTGCTGGTTTTCTGGGTTTTTGGCTCCTCTTATTCTCAGTTTGGACTGTTTGAAGACCTCCAGAGACCACAGTCCTTGGTGGGGGTCTGAGTTCCCTACCTATTCCTTTGGCATGTAAACCCTTCTTGGGGTGTCTCTCCTCACAAGCTTCCTTTGTCCTGATAAGGAAGCTGCTCATGCTGAAACCCAGAGAGAACTAAAAGCTGATGTTGATGTGCACTAGTAGATTGGCAGCCATTCCTTGAACATGAACTTTAGAAAAGATGAGATAGCTGAGAGTTCACAGTCTGGTCTGTTCTAATCTCAGGAGCACAAACATTTCCAGGAAGAGCTGATATCCACTTATTTCTTTCCCAATACTTCTGCCCATGAACGTGGAAAGAAAAACAGATTGACTGTACATTTAACTGCTGTTATTTCCCACTGCCAAGGTTTGTGTTTCTGCTAGGGACTGGGTCCTTTAAAGGAACATATTACAGAAACAGGGCCTCTTGTTTCCTTCTCTATATGACAAGCAGTCTGGCCTCTTGAGCTTCTAGCAATTTGTCAGTCTCAGCCTCCCACATTGCTGTGGAAATACTGGGATTAAACATGCTTACTGCCACACCCAGCTCTACATGTGTCCCAGGAATCCAAACTCAGGTCATTATGTTTATAGGGCAAGCACTTTAGCCACGGGGCTGTTTCCCTTCCCAGAAGCAGCTTTTTACCTGAATGCATATCTCATTCAAGTTCATATGCAAGCTGATCACAGGACTATTCTTTTTTGTGTTTCTTGTGTGGTACATGGATTCCTGGGACCTTAACCACACAAGGCGCAACGTCAGGAGAGCAGGGCTGGTGTAGCAAAAATTCCTTCACTCCCTCCTTTCTGTTCTTTTCTCAGTTGCCAGGGTCTTCAGACAGAGATTTCCATCCTCCAGGAGCAGATCTGTCATCTGCAGTTCGTGATTCACTCCCAGCACCAGAGCCTGCGCAGCATCATTCAGGAGGTCAGAGTAACAAGTGAATCTCTCAGGTAGATGCCAGGTTTCCAGGGCAAAGACCAAACCTGGCCAGTGTGGCAGGCTGAGTCCTGAGACTCACCTTCCCATTGACATATCCCTTAAGTTTCTCAGGGAACCTGGCTCCGAGGCTTTTCTTGCCTATAATGTCAACACCTGTCAGGTTCTAGACCAAGAGAGATTGAGAAACTATGCTTAACTGCTCTTTAGATATTTTAGTGATTTTTGTCCAAGCACAAATGTTCTGAGTCAGATGTTATTCACTGTTTTATGGAAGACTTGGTGCATTAGGAGATTCAAACCTTTCTTAAGTATTGAGCTTTGGGTTGTACGTAATTTTATTTATTTTTTTCAGTATTGCAGATGGACCATGCCACCTTCCATGTGCTAGCTAAATGCTCTAACACTGAGCTGTAGCAACAGCCCTATTTTACATTGTATTTGCGATAGGGTTTTGCTTAATTGACCAAGGTAGTCTGACCTTGTTTCAAAAATCTTCTTGCCTCAGCTTCCTGGGTAGCTAGGATTCTAGATACAGCCAGACTTGACTGTTAGACCTTCATATCCTCATAAGCAGTGACTCTAGGGGGTGTTTGAATGCAGGAAATCGCCTGCACTTTGTTCCTCATCCAGTTCTGCAGGATGAGGTACATGTACATGGTACACACTGTAGCCTTCCCCCACCTAGGCACCTGTTGGCTTTTCTGTAGGTAGGGCTCTCCTAGAGATGAAAATGGAGGGTGGCACCATTTGGTCCTTAACTCCTTGGGTGGCAATTTGGCTTGTGATCTTAAGTGGCCTGCTGGCTCTGCTCATGCTTTGGGATTGTGTCTTTTTTATTTGGTGAATATCATCTGACCACAAAAAGCTGTATAATTCTTGATTTATGTAGCTATTCCCCATGGTCTGACAGGATTTCCCATTTGTTCTTCCTCATTCTTAGATGGAAGGATTAAAAAATACTTTAAAGGAACAAGATAAAAAAATTGAAAATTTGAAAGAAAAGGTCTACATCCTTGAATCTCAGGTAAGAAGAGAACCTGTGTTGTATGTTTCAGTGTTGGTACATGCCGGGGTATGTGTGTGCCTGCAGGTAATGATGTACTACCACGTGTGTATACGCTTGTGCATGCTTGTGTGCCTGTGTGACTTTGATTGTGTCTCTGTGTGATTGCATTTGACTATGTCCGAGTGTCTGTATACAAGCACATGTACCCTGGTGTGTATGCATGTATCTGTAGTGTACATGTATCTACTATGCATGAGAAATTATAGCCTACTTTCAATAGTTATTAAATTGTGGCCATTTATTATTGAACAAACTTTTTATTATTGGCTTTACATACTAAAGAAACGTTAAAGGTTCACCCACATTTTCTCTGGATGCTCACTGTATTGGTAAAACAGGTGATGATCTTGGACTGGAGGCTTGGTTAAGGCTGCCCTTGTGCAAATTTTCTCTAGCCAGATGATGAGGATTCTTGACTCCTTGTTCCCACACATTTTTCTGGCCTGTGACGTCCTTTTCTTTCTACTTTTCTTCATCCATATCATGCTGGCTTCTCAGCTTTGCCTCCGGGCTTAATTGCATCTCAAAGTCTGCTGAAATCATCATGCCTTTCAGTGTTTTGAAAACTCAGTGTAAAATGAGAGACTTTTCTGGAGTTGGTTGTAAAAATGGTGTGAGTTGGTTTTCCTTCCCAGTAGAAGATTCTCCGTGACTGTAAAATCAAGAGCTTCCCATGTGGCAGTTGTAGAAAGAACTGACTTTTAAAAAACTTCGAGTAATTTTACAGTTGTATTAAATTCTACTTTTGTTAGTTTTAACTTAACAATTCATCATGGACAATGATTTTTAAATTAAATGTTGTTGTAAATATTTAAAAAGTCAAAACAAACAAACAAACAAAAAAACAGAGACAACTTATTTTAATTTCCTGTGATAAGATGTTCCAATCCACTCCTTTTCTCTACTGTATACCCCTTCCTGGCTTTTCTTGGTAGATCGCATCTGCCTCACAGGAAGTATGGGAAAGTCCTCAAAAAGTAGAGTCCCTCCAAGGAAGATTTTTGTTATTCAATGAGTTCATTTTAATTTTTCCTAGATTCTGTGCAATGATTTAGTTGTCTCTGAGGTCCAGTAGTAGACCTGGGGAAGTGTGTCTCTTTCCATGTCATTTGCCTTTATATTCCAGTTTCAGCCAGGGATTGTTGACACCCCAGTGAGTGGGGACGTAATCAGACCTGTGCTGCCCCTCAGGGAAACATGTCATTTGGCTACAGACTCTTCACAATGATGTGACAATACCCTTTTAGTGTGTTCCTAGATTTTTTCTGAGTATAGCTGATCCCCAGGGAGTGCTTTTTGTTTTCATTTGTAGACAAGGCTTGGAATCATCTAGTAAGTGTCTTTATGGTCTCCAATTTATTTTCTTCAGTAGATAAATGTTTTCCTTGTCAGTAGGGTAATCATTTCCTTGGAGCTTTAAAAGCCCGAGCCTTGTTAATCAACTGACCTTGAACTTACTACACAGCCAAGAATGACCTTGGATTTCTGATGCTCCTTCTGCCACCTCCTCCGGAGTGTTGAGATTTTAGGCCCGTCGAAGATTTATAATCTGCTTGAGGTGGAACTCAAGGCTTCGTGCGTGCCAGACACTCTGCCAGCTCAGCTACATTAGCTTAATTCATTTATTCAACAAGACATTTTTGTGTATTTGTGTGCAACAATTGGGTCAGGCTTTGCTCGGCTTCATCTAGTTTACATTTCAATTGGGGACTTAGGGAATAAACAAATAATCTTCAGAAGTACTAAGTGCTGCAAGGGATGAGAGGACAGCCTGAGGAGTGAGAGAGGACCAGGTCAGAGAGGGCATCTCAGAGTGGGGGATGTTTGATGAGGTGTCTAAACATAGTGAGCAATGGGCTACGGTGAGCCATTTCCAAGCTTATGCCTAGTGCATTCTTCTCCACAAAGCTCCTAACCTGGATGAAACATACCAGAGTGTACCAGCTAGGAAATAAACTGCTGACTATGAAACTGATGGTATGATTGCATTGGCTGAGACACACACACACACACACACACACACACACACACACACACACACACACACACACACA